TGTTCCCACCTGGTGGAGCTACACCAGACTCCAAAACATTTGATATTACTCTTCTGTTCCTTCTTCTGACAAACATTTGTGGACTATCCCCTCCCCTCTCAGGGTGGCACAAACTACCACCTTCAAGTGACACCTCTCGTGAGGCTAATCTTACTCGTATTAAGCTATATCGTAATGAGCTGTATGGTCACGTGACGTCCACGGGCGTTCAAACAGCTGTGTTTAACGTTAAATGGCAGGAAATAAGTACTGTTCTTGTTGCTCTTGGGTTGAATCCGGCTGAGGTGGTCAGATTACAGTCAGCGCCTTGCGGCGAAGATTACATCAGCGCTGTGATCGACTGGGCTAAAAATGACGAGGAGATTAAGTCACAGCTGGGAGAACTACGTAAGAGGCAACATGAAGCATGCCAGATGCAAGAGGAAGACCATGAAACTCTTCAACATACACATGAGGTTGTAAAGGAAGTTTTGAAAACCCAGCAAGAAACTTATCAAATAGAACGCAAACGTCACAAAACTATTCAGGACACACAGCAGGCAGTTGAAGATTTACGGCAGATCGACCGAGACACACAGAAAGTGGTTACAGAAGTTTTCAAAAGCCAACAAGAGGTACGTCAGAAGCAACAAGAAACTGCTGAGCAAGTACGCTGGACCCAACTAGAAGATCATGAGACTCTTCAGAATAACAAGTTAAAACTAGATGAAGTACATCAGACCCAAACCAAGACACAAGAAACTGTTGAGAGAGTTTGCCAGACCCAAGAAAAGCTTATCAAATCTGTTGAAGAGGCATTTGCTTCCTTAAAAGATGGAAGAGACGATGATATTTCAGAAGAAGTCCTTAGGAATCTCGCTAAGTCAGAGTTCAAAGGCGACATTGAGTATCATGTAGGACGATATCAAGAAGGCACTCGTGAGTGGGTGTTTAACAAAGTTGAAAACTGGTTAGACGACAGGAATTCTGAAAACCGTGTGATGGTGATCAGTTCAAATGCAGGTATGGGGAAGTCGGTCATCTCTGCTGTTTTCTGCAAAAGAATGCAAGAAGCTGGCAGACTGGCAGGAAGCCACTTTTGTCAGCATAACAATGCTCGTTACCGAAATCCTCAGTTGATGCTTCAGTCCTTGGCCTGTCACTTGTGCTATGCCTTGCCAGACTACAAAGAAGCTCTTGTAAAACAGCTGTCAAGAAATTTGGGTAAAGATCTCAACAACATGAGTGTGGAAGAACTGTTTGCGCTGCTTTTTAAAGAGCCTCTAAACAATGTAGCTGACCCTGGAAGAAACATGCTGATAGTGATAGATGCTTTAGACGAAAGTGATTACCAAGAACGCAATGAGCTACTTGATGTCCTTGCAAACCACCTTTCCAAGCTTCCACGTTGGATCCGATTCCTTTGTACGACTCGACCAGAGAGGAACATTTCAGACGCATTGAAACATTTGAAGCCATTTCAACTGGAATCAAATGATGATAAGAATATGGAAGACATCAAGTGTTTCAATTCATTGAAAACAGGACACAAAATCTAATCAAACCAGAAAAGAAAAGCGCCATAGTGGAAAAGCTTGTCGAAAAATCTGAAGGGCTCATGCTGTACGCCTATTTTCTTGTTTTATTTATTGAAGAGAATAAATCAGTTCTGAACCAGGAAGATCTTGATGATAGCTTGCCATTAGCAATTTCTTCAGCCTACCATTCTTATTTCAAACGACTAGAGAACGAACTTAAGAAGGAACTAGCCGTCAACGAAGAGAATTTTCTGAACCTTCTTTGTGCTGTTATCGCCTCCAGGGAGCCCATACCAATTGACTTTGTTTCTAAGCTATTGGAACCCAGTGCCAGCTCAACACTTGCAAGGCGCAAAGTACTTAACGCTATTAGCAGTGTGTCGTCACTTCTTCCTATTCGTGANGAACTAGGCGTCAAGGAAGAGAATTTTCTGAACCTTCTTTCTGCTGTTATCGCCTCCAGGGAGCCCTTGCCAACTGACTTTGTTTCTAAACTATTGGTACCCAATGCCAGCTCACCACTTGCAAGGCGGAAAGTACTTAAAGCTATCAGCAGTGTGGCCTCACTTTTTCCTATTCGTGATGGCTGTCTCCACGTTGTTCACAAGTCGGTTAAAGACTGGTTGACAGACGCATCTTGTTATGGAGAGCATGACTTCACCGTGGACGAGAAAGAAGGCCACCGTATACTTGCAAGCCTCTGTGCCGATGAACTTGATCATCTGAAGGAGAAAGGTGCACGTGACGCACAGTTTAGCGCCACAGAGAGGTATGCGCTAGATCATGGTGTACGTCACATGTTAGAGTTAGACAAGAATAAGAGATCACGGAGCCTGGAGGAATGTGTACGAACATACGTGACGGACTTGCAGGTTTTGTATGCAAAGATCTGTGTAAACATTTCAACAGCAGCTGAAGACATTTTATGGATTCAAAGTCAGGAACCCTCTCATGTTCTGTCTGCAGAGAGTGAAGATTTACTGAAAACCGTACTGTTTGTGTTTAGAAAGCATTACAGCACATTTATGGATCATCCTTGGGTATTTTTCCAAACCCTGCTGAATGAGGGAGGAACAGTGCTTTCCAAAGAGGCATTAAAAGTTTTGGAGGAGAAGTATCCTGAAATAGCGTACATGGAGTACTTGGACAAGGAAGCTCACGAGAAGGCACCTCAAGCTGAATTTTTATGTTCATCTCAAGTAATTAGTTTTGATGTTTCGCCTCAGTTAGACTACATGGTGTGTGAATGTAAAGATGAACTTCTTAACCTGTGGTCACTCCGTACCGGCAAGCTCGTATGGAAACGTCCTGTCAAGGTAAAGAAACCTTGTTCTCATGAGAAAGAAGGATACAGGAAATGTCCATCTTCACCCGTCTTGCTGTGCTACCGCTCAGTTGTTTTTCATCCTACTAAGAAAGTTGTCTTGCCAGGAATACTAAGTCATGCTTATGCTATGGGCGGAGAGCTGACACCACTTTTTCCCCAAAGTACCTGTACTTTCACGGTTTGCTCAATTTCAAATTCAGGAGACAAGACTGCGATGCTGTCAAATTGCCTCGATGATGCTAGATGCCTTGTCCTATGGAGTCTAGAGGATGGTTTAGAGATAACCCGTACTACTAGAGGTGAAGACGTTTTATCATTTGCTTGTTCTCGAGATGGAAAGATGCTTGCGATTTCCCATTCTACGGGCTCAATTTGTTTGGTAGATGTAACTAGAGGTTTTAGAACACTAGCACAAGTGACGACCCCTAGAGTGTGTGGAATGATCAAGTTCTCCCCTGACCGTCAGTTCCTTTTCTGTTCGCATGGAACACTGTCTGGTAATGTCGACCGCTGTGTGTTTCAGCTTAATGTCACGAGGTGTAGCAGTGGCACCTTTTCGTTAGATGTTTTAGGTGAAAACGTTTCGTATAAGCCATTGGAATATGAATCACGTAGTGAGACTGGATTTTTGGCAGGAGATCCTCTTTCGTGTATTTTTGAGAGACCGTCCTTGAGGCCTATTGGTTTAGGGTCAGGATGTGACTATGTTCTTGTAGAGGAGGCATTTATGTTTGTGTTAAGCAAACAGAGTGTGTTGAAATGTTTTCCTGGAAATGGTGGCATTGTAATGTTCAGTCCTGTTGAGCTTAGGAGCTTCACCAATTCATTTCACCACGATTATAAATTTATCGCCAAAGATATTACGTTTTCTTTAAATGGCCAGCTCGTTTATGTTGCTGCCAAGGAACGGACTGTAAGTAGAATTGTCTTCGATTCTTCAAAACAAGAGTTCGTTGATATGGGTAAACAAGAACTAACAATTATGGCTTGGGACGTTTTAAGTGGGGACCTCAAGGCAGAGAGGAGCATTGAGTGTGGAAAGTGCAGTCGTCTTGTGCCTGTAAAAAATGGGGTTTTGTTGACAACCAGAAACACTTTCCCTGAACTGTGGAATTTTGAGTTGTCTGAATGCATTCGCAGTTGGCCAAATGTACGTTACATCAGAGAGATGATGCCCATATCAGAGGAACGGGTAGCGTGTGTGCTGAAAGGAAATGAGGTGAACGTCCTGGATACAGCAAGCACAGACGTGGCAACAATCCCATTTTTCCATGAAGGATTTGAGTCAACAATTCTGAGGTTGGACAGAGAAGCTATAGCATGTAACAGCAGATGTCAGCTGTTGTCCACTGACCGCCATTCAGTTCAGTTGTCTGATAGTAGAGGCCGTATACTGTGGAGAAGGCCTTGGTCTGATTCTCTGTTATGTTCCTATAGTCTACCTGGAATGTTCTCGCCTACGGAAGAATTAGTTGTTATCTCGGTCAAAACTCCTGAGGATGACCAAAGTGTATACCTCCTCGATGCATCGTCAGGAAAGACATGCGTTTCTTTGTGTCGAGGTACTTACTTCTTTGACTGTAAGTTTGTCAGTGACGACGAGTGTGTTATTGACTCCCAAGACAGCTCACGTGCTATCCATATTCGACTGTTTAACATTAAGTCTGGCGACCTACTTAGTGTTATTGCTAGACAGATGAAAACATCCTGTTTAGCAGTTTGCCCTCTTAAACGTCTCCTCGCATTTGACGTAGTTGCAGACGGCGACTCAAAACGCATTTTCAAACTTCTCCACGTGAAGCTCCCACGTGATAAAGGCAACAGCAATAGCAAAAGGTGAGCTGTAGATGGACTAAGTTTGACAATTAACTGATGAAATAAATAAGTCGAAATATAGACTATTTATGCAGTGTTGGAAGTTAGCGCTCGTCCGCTCGTCAATGCAAGTGTGAAAAGCGGCGGGTGAGTACAAGTCATCCATCACTCGCCTGTTTGGCGAGTACGAGTTTTTAATTTTTGGGAAATTTTTTAAGCTTAAATATTGATAACACTCCTTTTTTTTCCATTTTGGCAAGAATATCTCTGAATGAGAACTTAGCGGTGCTTTTTTTAACTTGGAAAATATTCATATTTTCCAAGTTGTAGTGGTGGGACGATTTCACTCCATCACTCCTTCACTCCATCACTCCTTCACTCCATCATTCCTTCACTCCTTCACTCCTTCACTCCTTCACTCCTTCACTCCTTCACTCCTTCACTCCTTCACTC